CTCCGATGTCCACATGGGAAGATTTCCAACCAAATAGGTGAGTTCTTGCATTTGGTATCCCAGAAAATATACAGTATCTAAATAAAACTGTGGTTCAAAAGAACAATGAAAAGTTTAGACTAATATTCTGGAATAATGGTTCCACCTGACAAATTGATGGAGTAAAACATGGAAAATAACCAGCAGTCAATTTATGGAATGGATTTCTGACAGTGATATCAAGTAGTGTGTTTTGGAGCAAAGAGGTTTTCCAGTATAACTTTATTGAAAATCCACTAGTGTAACAAGAAAACTTGTTTGTTTGGTTTTTTTTTTTGTCAACATGTATGGCTTAGTTTTGATTCTTTCCATGCAATTTGTAAGTTGCTAATTTATTTTCTAGATATGGATGATTGTTTTCCATGTCCAAAAGCTCAGTATGCAAATGTGAACCAGGATTTGTGCCTTTCAAAGATTGCAACATTTTTAATGTACGAAGAAATTCTGGGGATCATTTTGGTCAGTTCTGCTGTTTTCTTTTCTTTGGTCACATCTGGAATTCTTTGGATCTTTATTAAGCATCAGGATACTCCCATAGTCAAAGCCAACAACCGGAATCTCACCTATGCTCTCCTTATTGCTCTCCTCTTGTCTTTTCTTTCTAGTTTATTATTCCTTGGAAAACCTGATAAGGTGACATGTCTCCTTCGTCAAACTACTTTTGGTATCATCTTCTCTGTGGCCATTTCTTGTGTATTGGCCAAAACTGTCATTGTGATTTTGGCATTCATGGCCACTAAGCCTGGGTCTAAGATGATCAGATGGGTGGGGAGAAGAGTAGCAGTGTCTATCCTTTTGTGCTGCACCTTGCTTCAAGGATTTATTTGCACTATATGGCTGACAATCTCTCCCCCATTCCCAGATGCTGACACAAGTTCAGGGTCAGAAGAAATCTTTCTGGAGTGTAATGAAGGATCAGTCTACATGTTCTACTGTGTCTTAGGCTACATGGGTTTCCTTGCCATTATTAGTTTTACAGTGGCATTCCTGGCAAGGAAATTGCCTGATGCTTTCAATGAAGCCAAGTTCATTACCTTTAGTATGTTGGTCTTCTGCAGTGTCTGGTTGTCCTTTGTTCCAACATACCTGAGCACCAAAGGAAAATACATGGTTGCTGTGGAGATCTTCTCCATTATAGCTTCCAGTGTTGGATTACTAGTTTGCATTTTTTTCCCTAAGTGCTACATTATTGTCCTGAAGCCTTCTCTCAACAACAAAGAACAGCTAAGAAGACAAACCCACATAAAACCATAAAAAAGTATATGTCTCATTATTTTAGATTGTTTGTAGAAAAACAGAATCATTTAATGTTCAAATTCAATACCACTTATCTAGAATAATTGTTTCAGATCTTCAGATTTAATTCTCACTTGATAGATAAAATAAAATATTTTCATTTACATACCATCTATTTCATTTGTCTTGACTAGTTATTTAAAAAAAATTGGAATTTATGCTGCTACGGTTACTCCTCAACTTACAACCACAATTGAGCCCAAAATTTATGTTACTAAGTGAAACATTTGTTAATTGAATTTTGCCCCATTTTACGACCTCTCTCACCACAGTTGTTAAGTGAATCACTACAGTTTTTAAGTTAGTAACATGGTTGTTAAGTGAATCTGTTTTACCCATTGACTTTGCTTGTCAGAAGATTGCAGAAACTGATCACATGACCCTGGGACACTGCAACCATTATAAATATGAGTCAATTGCAAAGCCTCTGAATCATGTGGCCATAGGAATTCTGCAAAGGTTGTAAGTGTGAAATATGGTCATAAGTCACTTATTTCAGCACCATTATAACTACTATATATAATATAGTTAATGTTTATAAATAACAAACTTCCTTTATTTCTTATATATTTTATTATAACTGTGATGCTGTGGTGTTAGATATGCCTGCTATAGAGGATAAGCACAGAAAAGAAATTTACCAATACATTATAAGAGAACAGGCAGAAATGCATTCAGAGATTTCCAATTCAGTTCTGAAAATATGGAATACAGACTTCCATAAACTTTCTACATGATCAGTGGCTAGGTCCTTCCTTGAAAAGTAAGACAAAATATATATGTATTTGAATCCATTTTTAAAGGTTCTGGGTTTTTTTTTTACATTTCCACCATGCATAAAATGTTCCTCCATGTTGTTTACATATGTATTTGAAGTTCCTTTATACATTCTATTTTTCAGACATCATACCATCTAAATTATTTTTCAGACTTCATATGCCAACAATACAGAGTGTGTTTAGGTGGAGGGCATTCCTGTTTTCAACTCTGTTTAACGATTCTTTAGATCTTTTGACAAATATTCCATGTGATTGGAGGCATTCAAAGAGAATTATTCTCAAAAAGGAGTGAAGGGCTTCCAAAATGGGTTTTGAAATACAAGAAGCCCTTTGACTTTTGGCCCATGATATAAACCTCCTGTGAATTAATATTAAGCTCTATTTATGTTAACACTAGAGAGACATAAATAATATAATAGAATAACAGAGTTGGAAGGGATCTTGGAGGTCTTCTAGTCCAACCCCCTGCTTAGGCAGGAGACCCTATACTATTTTAGACAAATGGTTGTCCAGTCTCTTCTTAAAATCTTCCAGTGTTGGAACATTCACAACTTCTAGAGAAAAGTTGTTCCACTGATTAATTATTCTAAATGTCAGGAAATTTCTTCTTAGTTCTAGGTTGCTTCTCTCCTTGATTAGTTTCCATCCATTGCTTCTTGTCCTGCCCTCAGAACAAGACTCTCTTCCTGTCCTTCTACAGATGCAGGAAAAGTTGATGAAGTTATAATTAGAGTTAGGATTCTGCTCTTACTCTCAGTAACTGCAATTCTTACTCTCAGTAACTGCAAACATCTAAGTCTCTTGTCACCACACTGCAGAATTCTAAAAGAGATCTCCATTGAGACATCAAAACATGCTTTCTTGTTCAAAGTTTCCCCGGATTTTGCTTCTGACATTGTTTATTTTTCTACTGCAATTATCAATTCCTATATAATTATTTCAAATTCAGCTCTACATCCCGGCGGATGGGGGAGGGGTAACTGAGTGATTAGCTCCAGTAGAATTACACTTAATGAAGAAAAATGTTGGTTCACAGATGTTAGCTTACAGAAGAAAAGCTACTGTCAAAGATGGTGATATTTATAGTATTGGTTATTCTGCCTTTACCTCAAGTGGTGTGCAAGAGTCGCAGGGCTGAATGCAGGACCAGTGACCCTCTGCCTTTTCTTCACAAGCAATATCAGTCAGGAGACCTCATTGTTGTAAACATGCTCTCTCAGATCTATATCTTCCACACAATGATGGACTTCAGCAAACGTCCCTCCAAGGAGCTCTTTGAGGACACCATGTAAGATTGTAGTCACAGAAAACATTAATTTGAACTAAGTCTTTTCATATTAATATTAGCCTCAGTTCCAGTGATTGGCATGATCTTTCCTTTGCTGGATGGCACTATCTTCATCCTTAAATTCTTCCTCCTTTTCCATCACCATCTTCTCCCCCTGTTCCTTTTCATAAATCTCTTCATAATCCATAATCTTGATGTGATTATTATATCCTGCAAGAAAAAAAAGAGGTACTCATAGAGTAAAAGGAACCTGAAGTAGAATTCCTTCCCAAGAAAAGGTTGGAATATACACAGACTTCTGAAGTTGGAAGAGGTGTATTTCCCCACTGAATGGAGAAATTCTTAGTGAATCTGAAATGTTGCAGTGGATAACTAAATATTCTTTCCTGGGAAATGGATGGATTACAATCTATTTGTTCTTGCTCAGCTGTGAATCAGATTTTTTTTAAGGGGATATTTTAGCAAACTGCACATTTGGTTATCTTATGTTGTCCAAGAAGACTTAAAGCATCTTCAACAGTTTGTGTTGCAACATTTATGCATGCACTGATTGAGGTTCTTTATAGCAATCTTTCAGAGAGACCTCATCTTAAAATAATTTACACACATGTCCTTCTCTGGATTTTTTTTATTGAACAATTTTACAGATAATAACTTACAGTAAACTTTTTACCTTTCTTTTTTAAATGCATTTCTTTTTCAAACTTTGCCATGAGAATTATTCACTGCATCTTCATTCTAGCATCAAAAAATTACTAATTGGTACATGTATGACATTCAGTATAATAACCAATTTATTAAGTAGACTCTTAAACATTAAGATTTATTAATATTAAATTATAACTTATTTCTGACATCATGGAAGAAGTTAGCCTCCTTTTTTTTTGGGTCAAATTCTTCTATGTTTCCAGCTTTCTATTTCCAAGTTATGTATAAAAATACTGGGATTGAATTATAATTTTGATCCTTTGTTGTTGTTGTTACTTGCGGAGTCATGTCTGACCCATCGCGACCCCATGGACAACATTCCTCCAGGCCTTCCTGTCCTCTACCATCTTCTGGAGTCCATTAAAGCTCACGCCTACTGCTTCAGTGACTCCATCCAGCCACCTCATTCTCTGTCGTCCCATTCTTCTATTGCCTTTGTTCTTTCCCAGTATTAGGCTCTTTGATCCTTATCACATAAAAAATGCATTGTTTGAGAGAATGCCTGTTTGAAAAATGCAAGCTATTTATGATATTATTTATTTGGTGCCATCAATGTTATCTTAGAGTCCCAAATTGCTATCAACAGTAGAATGTGCTTTGGAATTAAAAAAAGTGGAGTGGGTCTACTTTTCCAGAATGCAACAGAACCCTTTTACAATAAGTGGCTTTGGGTTTTGAAATTATGATATGTAAGGATGAATACTGGAAGATTTTGGGGGCAAAAATCAATTTTATCTCCAATATTTTTCAAGGGCTATTGTGACCTCACTTGTGACATTGCTCATTAAAATCAAAATGATTGCAATGTTATTTTATCATGCTCATTTATAGAGTATGATGAAATAATATCAGTGCATGGTGACAAGATATGGATTTTTCTTTCCAGGATCATGACTCCAATCTACCAGCACATCTTGGCCTTAGAATTTGCCATCACAGAGATCAATAGAAATCCCAATATTTTACCCAATCACACCCTGGGTTTTCAGATCTATAATACCTACTTCATGACAAGTTGGACATATCGGGCCTCACTGGAGCTTTTCTCTGTAAAGGGCCAGTTCATCCCTAACTACAACTGTGAAACACAGCACAGACCAATAGCAGTCATTGGAGGACCTACTGCTGATGTGTGTTTACACATGGCTACCATCTTGTCCCTCTACAAGATACCACAGGTATCAGCTTTGAAAGAACCCAGACCAAATAGTTAATCATCAATGCACTGTTCCATTCTTTAAATGGGAGTATTTATGGCATAGGAAGGAAGGGGTTCTTCTTGAAATAAAGAGATTAATCTTAACAAAAGTTAAGGGTTCCTGAATACTACAAAGGAATTCAGATGTGGCAGACTAATATTCCCAGGCTTGTGACCATAACTCTGCTGACATTTTATCATTTGATAGATCTAAGAATATTAAGGTATACCTTCCTAAGGATTGATTCTCAGTTAAAGTCCTATTTAAGAAAAATGGCATCTAAAATATATATTCTCAGAACTATGAAGAGAGAAACAGTGTTTTACATGACAATTTACCAATCTATCAGTTCCAGTTCCCTTTAATGGTATTGATTGAAAACAAAAGAATGCAGGCTTAATTGGGAAAACGTTAGTTATAATATGACAGGAATTGGGGCAATAGTGATAGAGAAATTAGATTAATTGTAATGAAATATTACATCAATATTACAGTCTGATGAACTGTAGAGAAATTCTTGTATTCTTTGTTGCAATATAAAAGTGGAAAGCCAAGCAGAAAGATGTTAAAAGCATTGTTTCAGTAATACAGTATAAAACCCAATGCTTCGTTTCCATAAAATGCAAACTATTAAGACATTTCTAAATGTATCTAAAGTCACATTTGCTGAAACAACTCAACCTTTGGAATAATGACTTTAAAATTCCACATGTGATGTTCTAAATATATATGTGAATTAGAGGTGGAATCAAAATAAGAAATATGAACCTTAATATCCATGTTGTAGGTTAAATGGGTAAATAATATTATTGCACAAGCTACCTTAAAGAAAAGAAGACAATAAGTGCCCTGTTACTTATTTCCTGTATTTTTCTTTTTAAGTTAATCTATGGTTCTCCTATTGAAAATAATAGCAGAAGAGAGGCTGCTTCATATCTACAAATTTCCCCAAATATAGACCATCAAAATAAGGGAATTTTCCTATTACTGCTGCATTTTGGATGGACATGGATTGGCATATTGACTGCAAAATATGACAGTGGAGAGAGGTTTGTACAAAATGTGGTTCCCATGTTAGCCCAGAAGGGGATCTGCTCAGCCTTCATTGAAATATTTCCAATCGTTGGCTATTCAAATAGAATTGCTGAGTTGGTAGAATTGGGACTTGAAATGTACATGGTGGTTATGAAAAGCACAGTTAATGTAGTACTAGTTCATGGTCAAATTCATGCCATTATAGTTCTGAGACTTCTGTCCACCAGTTTGAAATCTGAAGATTTACCATTATGGGAAAAAGGTAAAGTCTGGCTTCTGACAGCACAGGTGGGTTTCACCTCACTTCCCTTTCTAAGAAATGGTGACTTAATCTTCCTCCACGGTGCTCTGTCTTTTGCTATTCACTCAGAGAAGGTGTCAGGATTCCAGAAATTTGTTCAGATGAAGGACCCTATCTTAGAAAAAGAAGATATTTTTATCAAGCTCTTCTGGGAAAGTGCCTTTAAATGTTCCTTCTCCATCTCTGAAGTGGAGGAGGAAAATGTGATTCCCTGCACTGGAAAGGAGAAACTGTTAGCTCTTCCTACATCTGTGTTTGAAATGGACATGACTGGCCACAGCTACAGCATCTACAATGCCATCTATGTGGTGGCACGTGGTTTGCATGACTTCCATTCATCAATAATGCAATACAGAGCTAGGGGGCATGCAACCAAACTGGAACATCTGGATCAAAATCTATGGAAGGTAAACTTTGAGCAAACCAGTTACTGGCTTCTCACAATATCTGCAACCCTAATCCTAAATCTAAATTTAATGGATTCTTCCAAGGGGAATGCATCTAGGCATGTAGTTTTGTTGCATGCCATTTACTCTTTAGTTGTAGTCAAAATAATATCAATATTTGTTGCCTAGCAGTGAGATGGGCAGCAAACAAAAGTAATTATAATTTATAATTTATTATAATATCTGCATATTCATTAGACAAGAGTGTGAAATTTGTTATGCCTTTCTTTTCCAATGAAGCTTAACCAATTTATGAGAAGGATCTCATTCAACAATAGTGCTGGACAAAAAGTTTCTTTCAGCCATAATGGAGAATTGGAGACTGGTTTTGATATTATGAATTGGATCACATTCCCCAATCTATCTTTTCTGAGAGTCAGAGTTGGAAGGATGGACCCCATGAATTCCCAGGAAGCATTGTTCACCGTTGATGAGAATGATATCATATGGCCAAGGAGATTTAACCAGGCATGGCCAGTTTCATACTGACTTTTAGATAAATAGTTTTCTGTCATCCCTCAAGTTGCCTTAGATTCATAGAAATTAGATTCAGGTGAAAAATATTATAAATGCTTAAAGATTCCTAAAAATTCTCGACTTCCGGTTCTGGATCACGGCGTCTGCAGCTGTGCAAAGAGGCTGCTCTCTTCGCCAGCTGCTTTCTCTCTGCCGGTAGACCTTTAATTGGGTCGAAAAGTCACCCTGGAGGGGTGACTACCATTGAGGAGGCTCTCGCCGATCGTGGAAGGATGGCAGCTCCTTCCGCAATCCGAGAATGCTCCTTAGGGCCGACGGAGGAAAGATCGGCCAGTAAAATGGTCGATTACCTTGCTGCTATAACCAGAAGTCAGAAGAACATCTAAGCACAAGAACCACCATGGTTGATCCGAGTGAGATTTTTTCCCCCTCTCTTAGTCTCCCTTTTTTTCTTTTTGTTTCCTGTAAAAAGCATTTTTGGAACTATTTCCCTGTTTTAAGAAAACGGCATTTGTGAGTGTGGGAAAAGAAGCTATGGACTGAAAATTAACTTTAATTGACTATTTTTTACTTTTTTACCTACTTTGGAGTCTTGAAAAATTTCCTGCTATTGAATTTATTACTGGATTTAGCTTACATATGGAAAATATCTTTTTTCTTCTTTTTCTGATCTTGTTAATGTTAATTTTGGTGTCTGGGAAGAGATTTCACAGTTTACTGAGGACACCTTGTGGAATAAGTTAAAACTGCAACTGTCTTTTTTTCCCTGTTTGATGTTGAGACTGGCTTTGATCTTCAGATCATCATAAAAGGGAAAAGATAAAGAAATTCAACAGCTGTATTTGTGGGGGTGGACACTGGCTAAATGTTTACTGAATATAGCCTCCGCTAAAAGATAACAGGACTGTTTCTAATAACTATTGAAATGCAGAAATTCTATTCACAACTCAGCTGTAAACTTATATTGGAAAAAATTTATGAAGCCACTGAACAAATATGTCTACAAATGAAAGAGAGTATTACAGAAATTAAAAAAACAGAAATTCTACTTTGAATCTACAAACTGACCTCCAGACTTTAGCTGAACATTCTACAGACCAAAAAACAACAAGTGGAACCACTCAACACGAAAGAAGATTCTACTTCATCTTATATACAACCTAATGAGATTTCTGATGTACAAAAAATGACTGTAATCAAATTACCCATAATCTCAAAACCAACAGAAATGGATGTACAAATACAACTAATTCAGAACCATGATAACTTGGATAATCAATTAGTAGTCACAAAATTAGATATATTTGAGTGTTCTACTCCACAGATCCAAATGTCGAGATCTGAATCTTTAAAACAACAAGGGACTACCTACAAAGGAGCCAGGTCTTCAAAACAGAGGAGGGGACGCTCTTTTTTGACCCAAATGATATCGCAAGGCATAAAGAGAGACTTATTTGTTGATATTGAGGCTCTGTTATGGAAACCTATTTGGCATAAAAAGAAAGCTAGAATAAGATTTAAGAGTGTGATCCAAAATTCTACATAATGGGTTTAAAAGGCTTTTTAGACATGGATTGACTTATGGTTTAAGATGGGTGAATAAGATGTTAGATTGAATAAAGATTAATTAAATATTTGAACTTAGTAAGATGTTTGTTTGTGTAGTAACATGCTTGTTGTGGATATAGCAATTCTAGGTGGGGGTTAAAGGAGTTTAATATAGATATTGTGTCATGGTTCTGACTAATGAAACACTTCAAAGAACTTCCAGGCATGTTTATCCTAAAGCCTTTATTAACAGTGTCACAAATTGACGGCACATCATGGAGGTTTATGCCAGAATCTGAATTCCTCTTGCTGGCATCTAACTTTTCTTGCTAAACCCCTCCCTTATCTTGCAGTCACAAGTCACATCTTCCAATTAGCCCAGAGGGCAGAGATTCACTTCCATTCCTTTTCCCGGGCTTTTGTTATTTCCCCTCCCTTTTCTCTGTCATCTGAATTAACTCTAAAAATACCAGACAGTTCTGCATATTTTGTCAAAGCAAGAATATTCAGTATTAATAGCGTTGACATCAGGTCCCCCTTACAAAAAGGACAGATCCTGTAATGTAAACAAAAGCATATGTTAATGACTAGTTTTTGGTTTGTTGGGGTATTTCGCATGAAACCTTTTGATGAACCTGTCAGCTTTCACCTCAATGGATTTCACCCAAAACTTCGTTATCTCTTCATGCTGCTTTTGAAGTCTTTATTCCCAGCTGGGAGATCTGCCAGAGTTCTTTCTCCTCTGGCTGGCTGGCTGCTGCTTCACTCCCTGGGGAAGCTGCTGCTGCTGAAGGGCTGACCTCAAGCTATCTCTCCCCTTTCATAATGAGATCTTCCCCGAATCTTTATCGGTCTACCCCTTAGTTTAGGAATAGTGATTGGAGTTTGGGACCCCTTAATTGGTTTGAAAAATTTGCAGATTCTGGCATGATGTCATGGTTCCGACTAATGAAATACTTCAAAGAACTTCCAGGCATGTTTATCCTAAAGCCTTTATTAACAGTGTCACAAATTGACGGCACATTATGGAGGTTTATGCCAGAATCTGAATTCCTCTTGCTAGCATCTAACTTTTCTTGCTAAACCCCTCCCTTATCTTGCAGTCACAAGTCACATCTTCCAATTAGCCCAGAGGGCAGAGATTCACTTCCGTTCCTTTTCCCGGGCTTTTGTTATTTCCCCTCCCTTTTCTCTGTCATCTGAATTAACTCTAAAAATACCAGACAGTTCTGCATATTTTGTCAAAGCAAGACTATTCAATATTAGCAGCGTTGACATATTGATTGTCTGATAGATGATAGATTTAAAAAATAGAGTAGAAATATATTTTTTGAAATTTTTTTGTTGTTAGAAAGGATAGTTATTTTGAAATGAAAGAAAAATAAGAGGGATTTTTGAAAAAAGAAGAAATGATATTAATAAAGGATTACTGATTATGTTAAGGAAAAAAGGAACGGAGAGGTACCTGAAGTGTTAATAACATTTTTATTGTGGTGAAATAAAATATGGTAATTGAAAATAGTAAAACTTAATACAGGACTTGGACCTATGTAGATGAAATGTTATTGATGATTGTTTTGATTGACTTAATTGTATTGAAATACATTAATTTGAATATAATATATTATTTGAGGGAATAGAGAGGAAGTTTTTTTAAATATTTAATTTGAATTATATTTGTATGATTTTGTTTTTGGATAATTGGTTACCCTGTCATCACATTGTTTCCTAAGCACTTGTTTGTAAAAAGAAAAAACTAATAAAACTTGTGGGTTTTTTTTTTGTTGTTTAAAAAAAAGATTCCTAAAAATTCTCCAGGCAAATCTGGGGACTATTACAATGTGACTCTATCTGGTGATACCTGAGATGGATCTGCGTACGATCGTTGGGATGGTGCATGTGAAAAGCATGAAACTTTGGACTCGGCTCTGTCAACCGGACTGCCTCTTTGGTGAGGCTCGGGCTGTGGGGAACCCTGTGAGCTTTCTAGAAACTTCTTGCGTTCCTCGTTTATTAGCTTGAGGCTTTGCATCTCGCTGTCGACACTTGGGTCTCTTAATTGTTCTTGAATGTCCTTGAGTTGCTGTTCAGAGTCCATCCATTGCACATAGGCGTCTTCCTTATCTCCTTCCACTGTGTGTGCCCATTCTGGGGAGAGTTCCTCCTTCTGTGCGTGGTAGAGTTTGTATAATCTCTCCCAGCTTCTTTCATGGCGCCTGTGGACGGTGTGCCATTTCTCCATCAGATGTGAGTGCATGGCTTCTGTGAGCTTTCTGCATTGTCTAAGATCGTATTGACCCTGAGACATTTTGGGCTTTGTTGAGGCTTGAGTTTCAGCCTCTGCATACTGGTCAATGTTGGCTGTTTGCAGCATCTCTCCTTGACTGACTGGTTGGGGTGTTTCAACTAGGCTAGTTAATTGAGCCCCTTTGTCCAAATCAGTAAGACACTCCTCCATGGTTAGGGTAGGTTCCGTGTCCTTCTCAGCTATTTTGAAGAGAATTTGAAGAACTTATCTCTTTGACCACTAGGGGTCGCTACTTGTAGATCAGCTTCTGAGGTGCTGTCTGTGGGTGGAGATGCCACTGGGTGCGTTCTCCTGTGTTTGTGGGTACTTCAGTGCAGTTCACCCCTTCACCACTAGGGGTCGCTTGCTGTGGATCAGCTACCAGGGTGCTCTGGCTTCGAGGTTCACCCTTTGTCCACTAGAGGGGCTTCTCTGGGTGCGGTTAAAGGCTTGCGTGTAGAGCTTCCTTTAACCACTAGGGGGCGTCTGGAGAAAGGCTAGCCAAATTCTTCCTATTGCCACGTTACTGCTAGTGAGCCACTGTGATAATAGGCGAATGCAATTGGCTCTTGTTTCCTGTCTCTCAAGCTGGGACAGCTTAGCCTTCAGCTTGAGTGAGTGAGTGAGTACTTTTGGTAAGTTCACTCTGTGCCCTCTAGGGGGTATTGAAAAGGCTAGCCAAATTCTTCCTATTACCACGTTACTGCTAGTGAGCCACTGAGAGAATGTAGAGGTACAAACTCCCACGTGGTCAGTTGCAGGCTGGCACTCCGGGTCATCAGCTGTGATAATGAGCGAAGAGACTTGGCTTTGATTTCTCAAGCTGGAACAGCTTAGTGCTCAGCTTGGGTAAATGAGTGAATGCTTCTGATAAGATCACTCTGTGCCTTCTGGGGGGTGTTGGTAGCTTGGGATAACTTTAAGTAGCTTGCACTTTAACTAACAGATTTGCTCTGTTGTGTGCTGAATTGATTGTGGCTGTTGTGACTCAGCTAGGAAAAAAAAAAAATTGCATGACCACCAGGGGGTGCTTCTGCGATGATTCCTCCTTATAACATTGGCTGAAATTCCGAGCATACTATGGCAACAGATGAGTTTATTGAAAGGCAATAAACCTTGCTTTTGTTTGAACTTTAGAGGCAGTCATTAAACAGTTCTTTGTTTCAGGCTGCGTGATTCACTGGCAGAGGGGAAGGGGAAAAGCCCAAGCTCCTTTTGGTGTTAAAATTCAAACTTTTCATGCAAGAAACAAAGTAATTTTGAATCAGATACAAGGCACTTTTCATTTTGAAAGTTAGCTAGCAAGTGAATTAGCATAACAAAACTTCTGAATCACTCCTTGAGAGCTGTCTTTTACACAGACACGGCTTTGCTTTGCAGGTTCTTACAAGCATCAAGAGAATCTTTACTTGCTTGAAGGTTTATGCAGAGAAAAGGCTGACCAATTTGATTCTCTTTCTTCAAACTGTTGCAGCTTTGAGAGGAGAATTAATCTTTGCCAATTTACTATTTGCTTTCAAAAGATGGCACAAATTATGAAAAAATCTTCTTACTATACTGACCCGAATTCAAAAGTGTTATATTTCAAATCCAGTCAGATAGTTAACTCAAAAGAAACGATCTTATAACAAACAAATATATTTTAATGAGAAAGATTACTTGTGTTCATGTTGAGATTGGTGCTGCTGGGAATACATTGGTTGTTCATCTTTCAGATCTTTTCCTTAGGTAAGAAGATTTTGCTCTTTATACCATCTTATAAGGAAAACTTCCATGGCCCATGCTTCTTACAGACAAAGAGATTCCCATGTGGCTTGTGTCCAGGAAGTCTCCCCAAGACCTTTGGAACTCCTCCCACTGACCCATCCACATACCTAGCATTTAACCCAATAACTGCCAGGCCTTCCAACATAGAGCTGGGCTATAGAGCTATATGGGTCATAGAGCTCTATGGGCCAGAACAGGATGCCTTCTACATTAGGTTTATGAATGAGGAGATGGGAGTATTTAGAAGGAGAACTGATGTTTCTTATCATATTGAAATAAAAGAATATGTTTTCCCATCCAGGAAGAGCCATCCAGACATGTGAAAAAAAAGATGTTCCAAGGATATTGAAAACATTTTGGATTTTGATGTAAAATCAAAGGAAATAATGATCTATTGAGCTTTGCAACATAGCTACCTACCTTTTAATTATATTTTAATACTACATAGTGCTGAATGTTGTACAATTTGGCACTGTCTCCAGCTGAAATAATCCTTCTCTCTTGTGAATAAATTAAAGCAGAAGCTAAATATAATGAAGAAAAAGCCTGAAATTCCAATGACACTCCTTAGTACTGTATTAATATTAAGAAAAAAAATTGTCAAAGACAAAGCATTTTCTTCTTTCCTTCATGAACAGGTTCAACCTCTATCTTTGTGCAATAGCAATTGCCATTCAGGTCATGCCAGGCGCAAGATAGAAGGGAAGGCATTTTGTTGTTATGATTGCCTACGATGTCCATATGGGAAAATTGCCAACCAAGTTGGTGAGTCCTTACATTTGTACCCTAAAAATATACCTAAATAAAATTGTAAGTCAGAACACAAATGAAAAATTTAGATTGATGCTCTAGACTAATTGTTCCCTTTGACAAATGGATGGAATAATATGATATATTGATCAGCATTCAGTTTATTGAATAAATTTCAACAGCGATATCAGTGAGTCTTGGAACAAAAGGGTTTCAAATGGGATGTTTACCAGTGTATTTGATTTCCACGTGTTATAAAAACAGTTCTTTTTTCTTAAAATATAGTGTTCAGTTTGATTCTTCCAATGCAATTTGTAAGTTGTTACCGTAATTTATTTTCTAGACATGGATGATTGTTTTCAATGTCCAGCTGATCAATATGCAAATGTGAACCAGAATTTGTGTCTTCCAAAGATTGCAACATTTTTGATGTATGGAGAAATTTTAGGGATCATTTTGGCCAGTTCCGCTCTTTTGTTTTCTTTGGTCACAGTTGGAATTCTTTGGATCTTTATTAAGCATAAGGATACTCCCATAGTCAAAGCCAACAACCGGAATCTCACCTATGCTCTCCTTATTGCTCTCCTCTTATCTTTTCTTTCTTGTTTATTATTCCTTGGAAAACCTGACAAAGTGAGATGTCTCCTTCGTCAAACTGGCTTTGGGATCATCTTCTCTGTGGCCATTTCCTGTGTATTGGCTAAAACCATCACTGTAGTTCTGGCTTTCATGGCCACTAAGCCTGGTTCTAAGATAACCAAATGGGTGGGGAGAAGATTGGCCATGTCCATCGTGTTGGGCTGCAGCTTAATTCAAGGAATTATTTGTACGATATGGCTGACAACCTCTCCACCATTCACAGATGCTGACACAAATGCAGGGGCAGAAGAAATATTTCTGCAGTGTAATGAAGGTTCAGTCTTCATGTTCTACTGTGTCTTGGGCTATATGGGCTTCCTTGCCATTATTAGCTTTACGGTGGCTTTTCTAGCGAGAAAATTGCCTGATGCTTTCAATGAAGCCAAGTTTATCACCTTCAGTATGTTGCTCTTCTGTAGTGTCTGGTTGTCCTTTGTTCCCACCTATCTGAGTACCAAGGCAAAGTATATGGTTGCTGTGGAGATCTTCTCTATTATTGCTTCTAGTGTTGGGTTATTGGTTTGTATTTTTTCCCCTAAGTGTTATATCATTATGTTGAGGCCTGATCTAAACAACAAAAAACAGCTAAGACAAACCTACAGAAAAGCATAAAATTCTATCCCTTATTGCTTCAGATTGTTTATTTGGAATCAAATCATTGAAAATTCTAATCCAATATCAGTTACTTAGATTTACACTCTTTCAAATCTTCAAGTTCAATTCTCAGTTTATGAGCAAAATATACTATTGCCATTTACATACTATTTATTTGTGTTCACCAGTCTTTTTTTTTAAAAAAATGTTTGATTTAAATCTATGCTACTATAAGTAGTCCTCGACTTTCAACTGGTCACTTGGTCATTTGAAATTATGACAGAGCTCCCCAGATCTACCTATAAACTGATTTCAAAGTTCTGTTGGCTGCCTATCCTCAAAGTCAAGTAATTGCATTTTTGGGTGCTTGGCACTGTCCCCACATTTACAGTTGTTTATGTCAAGGTTGCTAAGATGCTTGCTAACCTCTGTTGGTACTCAACTTGCCATAAAAACAGTGGGGAGGGAGAAAGAAACAGGAAAGAAACAGCAGTTTCAAGAAGCCATCCAGGGACCGTGAGACCCATGGTCAGAAAAGCAAGTGTCTGAAAGAGAAGTGGACCGTTCCCATAACAAACCAAAGAGATGTGATTGGGCAACATGAACAGTTGTTGTTGTTGTTGGGGTTATGAAAAGCTATTGTTAACTAACCAGATTTTCATGGGGGAAACTAGAGTTGATTTTGCTTCTTCAGTGCTAGGATGTGTATTCAATACAGTTTATCTCTTATAACACCTCAAAACCATAGAGTTTCTTCAATATTGAATTTGCTGGCTGGACAGTTGTCTGTTTGCTGAATCCAGCAGTCACATGACCACAATTTACATTTTTTTCCCCTGGAATCCAGCATTTACTTCCATTTTCTGGCAAAAAAAGGGATTGATACAATGGATCACTTAATGACTGTTGCATTTACTACTGCCATGTTTGCTTAATGACTGGAGTGTTTGCTTAACAAATGCCACAGAAAAAAATGGTGAAATCACTCATGGTCACTAAACAACTAGTACAATATGTGACCATGCATCCAAGCAAAATTATGGTCATAATCCAAGGAGTACCTGCATTTCATTATTTATTGTTTGCTCACAAATGTGATTTCAAGAGAGGAGGCATGTATTCAGTGGTGGGATTCAAATATGTGAACAACTAGTTATCTGTTTGGATGCCACTTCCAGAAGTCCATTCTGGGCCTGGGCAACAAAAAATTAGCTACCGTTTCTGCTGAACTGGTGCAAACCGGCTAAATCCAACCACCACATGTATTCCAATCATGATATTGTCAGGGGCCACAATTAAATACTGTATCCCAAACAGGCAACTGTAGACATGGACCTATATTAGAGGTGGCAGAACCAATACAACTATACATCATGTTGAATATATCCCAGGTTCAAAATCTCCAAAGAATCCAAATTCACGGTGCAAGACATTATCTGACTGACCTTATATGCCTCCTTGTCCAATTGGCCTCTGGAGCAGAAGACTGAACTTTCACAACCTTTCCCCAAAAGTCTGTGTGAAAAATACACAGATCACAATTCACAAGTTGATACACTTGAAGCTGTGCTGCTACATGTCTTCAAAATCACAATGCAACTTTCTACTTCCTTAATGTCTTTTAATCTTTAAAATCCTCTCTATCAATGTATGTATTTGAATCCATTTTAAAGCTTTTTTCATTTACATTTACAATATAAATGTTGCTTTATGTATCTAATATGCATCTGAAGTGCCTTTATACATTCTAGATAATATTTCAGTAGTCATATATCAACAATGTATTGTTTTATAAAAAATATCTTTAAGATCATAATGCAATGTAAATGTCAACCCTTTTAACCACATATTTTCCCATTTATCCATGTATTATAATTCTTAGCAAACCTTATCATACATTCTTTAACCTGTTTTTCCTTTGTTTCAAATTTCAATAAAAGTTTATATATTTTAGCTGTTACTGTACATGCATATCATCAATGCACAATACCACTTCAAATTTTGTCTTATTTTATTACATAAGTCTTTTTGTCCACTCTGAATCTTTCTGACAACTGTAAATGGAAACACTATTAATAATTATAATCTTCTATTAATTTACTCTCTCATTTTGATTTTAAATTTCATTATATTGTTTGCCAATAATACCCAATATGACAAGTTCTTTCCTTCTCTGCTGTTTCTCTTCTGACATTCTCCTTGAGCTGAGATGCATAAAGATATTTTGGAGCACAATCTTGATTTCTATATATTTCATATGGCATACCTAATTCAATGATTTTTGAAATTCATGTTAATGCTAATTTTATCACACCAGAAATATCTATGCCAGCCAAACCTCAGGTAGTGACTTACTAACTGTAAAAGTCTTGCATTTTGCATTTTGCTGTTTTGTTTTGTCTGGAGAAAAGAATAGATGTTACTAAGAAACATTTATTCTTTTCTCCAGACATAACAAAACAGCAAAATTCAATTTCAAATCTAGTAAATCCAATTCTCCTCTCTTTTTTGCATCAATGACACTTAATATTTAACTTGTTTTTATTTTGCCTTGCCATATAAATTTATTTTTTTTTTCATTGTGTCAGTAGTAATCAGTTATCAAAACAGGTATTGTCCAGAGCAGAACCATCATTCATGACATTTATTTTTATATATAGATTCTGCCCAACCATGATAATTTTAATTTTTCATCTTTAACATGTCTTTCTTAATTTCATTCCAGTCTTAACCTAATTACTTTGAAAAACATACAATTCATAAAAATACAGTATTTCACTTTTTTTCCTCAAGCTTAAAATATTTTTTGTCATCAGTTCTATTTGATTTATTTTTCCATATTTTTTTGTTAATATCTTCATCTTCTGATTATTAATCTTAAAACCTGCTACCATGCCAAAGTTCTTCAATTTTCCCATTCATGTTTCTATTCTCTCCAGTGAATATTCTAAAGTTGTTGTTATTACTATGATTTGTTGACTAGTCAGCCAAATGTTTAGATGGGACTTGGCATTTTTGTCCACCTATTGAGTTTTTCCCAAGGACCTGAGAGAGGAAGATGGTATTGTTTGGTGGTGTTGGTATTAAAGATATCATCACAGACTGTTCTGAGTAAAACTGCCTTTCGCAATTGAGTGGTGGAGTTTTCCCAAGCAAGACAGCCTTGTGTTTCTCTGTTGGGATTTGCCATCAATAGAAGTGTTGTCTTTTTTGGAACTTTGATCTTATATATGTTGATGGCAGTAAGACTATTGTATGCACAAAAATGGAAGGACATTTCGATTCCCACTATGGACGAATGGCTACAGAAGCTGATGGAGTTGGCAGAGACTTTTGATTAAAGAAAATAATACTGTATAAGTACTTTTGTTTCCACATGGAGACCGTCCTGGATTTTGTGCCTGAAGTGGAAAAAAAATGAAACCTTGATTTGATTGATTTTGTTATAGAAATGGCTAGTTTATACTACTATGAAAAAGTAAAAAGTAGAGGTTCGATATTAATGCTTCATTCTACTGCAACAGAGGAAGTCGGAAGTCAATGCCTTTTGTTTTCTTTTTTCCTTCTCCCCCTCACTTTTTCCTCCCCACTGTGTCCTACTATTTGTTTTTGTGTCTTTGTATTTTATTCATAATCTAATAAAATGTTATAAATCCCTAAAATAAATAATAATAAAAAAAATGTTGTGTTTGGATGCAGAGGTACTACCTGTGAAAAAGAAGTCTGACAATTTGGGGATTATCCTGGATTCATTCCTGGCACTTGCCTCTGAACAGCAGGTACAAACCATGACTAAAAAGGCTCAGCTTCAACTTGCAGCTTTATCTGATACAAGGGGATCTGACCATAGGAGCTTAAAAGTAAATCCTCATCATCACCTAGAAAATCTCCTGCAATATTCTTTATATATTCTTTTGCATTTAAAGGCAATGCAAAAATTATCCAGAATTCGGCAGTGTTTATTTGAATGGAGGTTAGAGAATGTCTATTTGTATCTGGCCTCAATTATATCAACTTATTTTTGAGAGCATGAACCAAATTGTATGTTTTTTCATCATTCAAAATATAAATATTGAAGATAGCTTCCTCTCCCCCCCCCCAGTCATTTTGTTGCCTCTTTTGATTTTTTCTGTAGGGAAGGTAGACAGTTAAACAAGCTTCAAGATAATATTAAGACATAGAAAAGAAATCAAACCACGAGGAGGAGGAGGAGGAGGAGGAGGAGGAGGAGACCTATTAGCATGGGAACAATGCCCCAAGAAAAAGAGAAGAGCAACAAAGATGATTAGGAGTATGAAAGCTAAAGCATATGAAGAATGGTTGCTGGAATTGGGTATGTCTAGTTTAATGAAAAGAAGGACTTGAGGCTGTGTTCCAATATGTCAGAGGCTGTGACAAAGAAGAGGGGCTCAAGCTATTCTCCAAAGCACTTGAAGGCAGGACAAGAAACAACGGATGGAAACTAATCAAGGAGAGAAACCAACCTAGAACTAAGGAGAAATTTCCTTAGATCAATTAATCAGTGGGACGACTTGGCTGCAGAAGCTGTGGATACTACAACACTGGAGATTTTTAAGACAAGATTGAACAGCCACTTGTCTGAAATGGTATAGAGCAGTGGTTCTCAACCTGTGGGTCGGGACCCCATTTGGGGTCGAACGACCATTTCACGGGGGTCGCCAAACAACGCAGTCCGCCATTTTTTTCCCCTTTTCCTTAGCTGTGCTACTCCCTTTTATTCTATTGGCTTTTGAAAGCCAATAGAATAGACTCTCTTGAATAGAGTCTAATTCTATTGGCTTTCAAAAGCCGTTAGGAATTGTCCAGACTGTCTCTCCCCTGCTGAGCCTGCCAAAAGTCCCATTCTCCAAACGGTGCTGCAAGTTGTCTGAAGAGAAAGCGAGCTGTCTGGAAGTTTCCACCCCTCCCTGCTGAGCAACTACTAAAAATCTAAGTAAAAGAGGGCCAGGGGTGGGAGGCCGGTGGGCACAGGGAGGGTTGCTGGCACACATGGAGCCCGGCAGGTGTCTTACCTCCCTTGGGCTGGGCCAACTGGTGGCCCAGCTGGTGGTTGGCCTGTGCCATCTCTGCCACTTGCCAGCTACGCCTTGGCAGGCGCAGGGGGCGGCACCACGCATGCGCGACGCTCCCGGGCAGGGAAAGTCCTCGACTTATGACCAGTTGGGTAGTCCTCAACTTACAACTGGTTGGGGGTCGCGGCATTAAAAAGGTTGAGAACCACTGGTATAGAGTCTCTGCTTAAGCAGGGGGTTAGTCTAGAAGACCCCCAAGGTCCCTTCCAACTCTTTTATTCTGATAAATTACAAGAGAAAATGCAAAAAGTGGTTGGAGTTTTGCCCCAACCAACGAGTTGCCCCAGAGTATATTTAAGGGGAAGGGTATTTCTGTTATTAACTCTGTTCAACAATTCTCTAGGTTTTATTTCATACTTTCCATATGATTCCAGATATTAACAGATTTTTTTCTCAATAAAGGCCAAAGTGCTTCCAAAATGGATTTTGGAGTACAAGAAGCCTTTAACATCATTTTGGGCCCTTTTATAACTCTTCTGCAAATTAATGTTAAACTATGTTTTTCTTTTTTTAAGATTTGGGAATCATGAACTCCTCCTATCTTTCTACAAATCAAGGAAGAGATTGTGAAGCTCTCTTTAGAGTTTGAATTCTTGTCTTGCTCTCAATCAGCACAAACATTACAGAATGCTAAAGGCAATGTCTACTGAGTTTGCAAAAACATGTTTTCTTGTTCAAGCTTTCCTAAGACTTTGCTGACTTTTCTACTGCAATTATCAGTCCCTATATAATTTTTTCAACTTCATTTCTACACCCTGGGGCATAATTTAGCCATTAACTCAAATAGTATACTTCTTGAAAAAGAATTTTGAGACAGACAAATTGGCTTACAGAAGAAATGCTGATATTTGCAGTATTGGTTATTCTGCCTTTACCTCAAATTATGTGCAATATTCACAGGGCTAAATGCAGCACAAGTGACCCTCTGCCTTTTCTTCACAAGCATTATCAATCTGGAGACCTCATTGTTGTGAATTTGCTCTCTCAGCTCTATGTTTTCCAGACAACGATGGACTTCAGCAAGCGTCCCTCTAAGGAGCTCTTTGAGGACACTGTGTAAGAGTTTATACCCCAGAAAAGAAGTTATTTTGATCCAGGAGGTGTTTCCTTATTAATATTAACTTCAGTTATAATGATTAACATTGCCTTTTCTTTGCTGGATGGCACTATCTTCATCCTCTCACACCACCTCCTTTTCCTTCATCATCGTCTCTGCCTGCTCCTCTTCATACGCCTCATCCATAATCCACAAACATGATGTGATGCCTATTTTCTGCAAGAAAAAGAAAGATCTTCCAATATTTTGTTTAAAATTTTCTTCAATTATGAGAAAAGAATAAAATGTTCCAAAAATATTATGGATACACACTCATGCACCTAATTATTTTTGGCATGCTTTTCTTGGTTATATATATCTGTATCTATATATATATATATATTTATCTGTCTAATATATCTATATATCTATATATCCCTATCTCTATCTCTATCTATCTATCTCTTTCTATATCTCTTTCTATATCTATATCTATCTATATCTATATGTATATCTATATCTATCTATATCTATATCTATACAGAAAGTTTTTCAGACAGACCAGTCTGATTGATTGCACCTTGGCATTTTGACTGCTATACTGCACTTCTACTTCTTTATAATCTCTGGCCTGGTGGTTAATACAACTGCCTAGCATGTAGACTACCCTGGTTCGAATCCCATAAAGGATGTGGCTAGCTGATGAGGACAAATGAGTCCGAAATAGCTATACTAGTCTCCCACTTAAATCTTTAACTCTTGTCAGCAAAAAGAAATCTGAATATCTCTCTCTCTCTCTATCTATCTATCTCTATCTCCATCTCTATCTATCTATCTATCTATCTATCTATCTATCTATCTATCTATCTATAGATATAGATATAGATATATTGTCTGTCTGTCTATCACCAAATATGAGAAAAAGAGGAGGAAAAGCTAAGGTAGAATTCCTTTCAAAGGAAAAGTTGGAATATTCATATATACCTGAAGTTGAAAGCACTAATTTCCCCCATTGGATGGGTGTCCATGCTTAGGGGGGTGAATCTGAAATCTTTCAGCAGGTAACCCAAAATGTTTCCTGGGAAATAGATGGGTTATAATCTATTAGTTCTTCCTCAAGTGTGAATTGGATTTTGTAAAGGGGATGTTTTAGCAAACTGCACTTTGGGTTATTCTGCATTGTCCAAGAAGACTTAGAGCATCTTTAACAGTTTTCGTGATTTCACTTTTATACATTGCACTGATTGTGGTTCTTTTAAAGAATCTTCCTGGGACTCCTCATCTTAAAATAATTCACACAGAGAAGAGCACATTTTGTGTCCTTCTCTGGGTTCTTTATTGAACATCCAAGTTCCCCTGTAATAAATTACTGAAGTCTGAAATATTTACTTTAAAAAAAAATGTGGCTTTCTTTTTTAAGGGTTGTCATGAAAATATTTTATTTTACTTTCATTCAAACATTAAAAATACTAGTATTGACAAAAGCCCATTCTTGTTATAGTATATGGCATCAGAGTAATAACGATTTTTAAGTAGAATCTTAAAGATTGCTGTCTTTAATTATCAGATTATGAAATGAAATGTCCTCGCTAACATCATGGAAGAAATTATGCTTCTTTTTTGAGACACCAGCTAATGGGTACTAATATGTCAGATAATCCAATTGCCATTCCATATTTTAAAACACCCAAGTTATTTCAAGATGAATTTGGATTGTTAAAACTGTGCATTATCAGTTATAGTGAGCTATACCACAGTCTGTTTACATATTTGCTATAAAGCCATCAAAGCTAGTTTGGACTCCAAAATTACAATCAAGAGTGAATGATGTTTGGAGCCCTTAAAGTAAATGGAGTACTCTTCTCCAAAATGCAATGGTACTCTTGAAAATCAAAATAAATGAATTTAATTTGTGAAATGATTACCCAGTAGGATGAGTGACTGTTAGGTAAAAGTAATTTTCATAACCAATATTGTTCAAAGGCTATGAAAACTTCATCTATGACCCTGCTCATTAAAAACAAAATACTTACAGTGCTATTTTATCACTCGCCTATAAATGTATATTATGTATATTATGACTGCAAAGTGACAAAATATGTATTTCCTTTTCCAGAGTTATGACTCCAATCTACCAGCACATCTTGGCCTTAGAATTTGCCATCAAGGAGGTCAACAGAAATCTTCATCTTTTACCCAATCATACCCTCGGTTTTCAGATCTATAATACCTACTTCATGACAAGTTGGACATATCAGGCCTCATTGGAGCTTTTCTCTAGAAAGGGGCAGTTCCTTCCTAACTACAACTGTGAAACACAACACAGACCAATAGCAGTCATTGGAGGACCTACATCTGATGTGTGTGTACACATGAGTGCCATCCTGTCCCTCTACAAGATGCCACAGGTATCACCTTTGATGGAACCAGAACAAATAGATAACCATCAGTGCACTGTTCTTTTCTTTAAATGGGAGAATTTATGATATAGGAAGGAAGGGGTTCTTTTTGAAATAAAGACTATTCTTAACAAAACTAAGGATTTCTGGATACCACAAAGGAATTCAGCTGTAGTTGATTAATGTACGCAGACTTATGGCCATAACTCTTCTGATATTTTATTGTTTGAAAGATTTAAAGGATTAAGGAGGGTGGTATGCTTCCCCTAAAATTAATCTATTAAAGCTGTATTTAAGAAAAACAAGGTCTAAAGTATACAGTATTTTCAGAACTATAAGAACAGAAAAGTAATTTATAGTGTACCAACCGATTTACAATTTCTGGTTTCCCTTAATGTTATTGAAGGAAAAGAAAGGAACATGATTAATTGAGAAAAATGAGTTATAGAATATGAGAGAAATTGGGACAATAGAGATGGAAGAATTAGATTAATTGTAATGTAATGTAATCTAATGTAATGTAGGAGGAGAAATTCTTGTATTTTGTTGTTGTTGCAATGTAAAAGTGGAAAGCCAAACAGGTAAATGTTACAAACGTTTCCATGAAATTTAATTTTATGTGAAAGGCAATAATGTGTTTTTTTAATCAAATTTGCTAATGGAAACGTGAGAATGATGACTTAATAATTTCCTCCTAGCATATTCCAAATATATATATCAAATAATCAAAATAAGAAATGCTGTTGAGCATTAATATGTATGTTATAGTTTAAATGGGTAAATAATATCTTTTCAACCCACATTTCAAAAAAGGAAGAAGAGGATAAGTGTCATATTGCCTATTGGCCTGCATTTTTCTTTTTCTTTTTTAAGTTAATCTATGGTTCCACTACTGAAAGTAGTATGAAAAAAGAGGCTGCGTTATGGCAACAAATGTTCCCAAATATAGATGGTCAATATAAGGGAATTTGTTTATTACTTTTGCATTTTGGATGGATATGGATTGGGATCTTGTCAGCAACAGATGACAATGGTGAGAAGTTTATACAAAACATGGTTTCCATGTTTGCCCAGAGAGGGATCTGTTCAGCTTTCATTGAAATATTTCCTGTCATCGATTATTCAAATAGCTTTGCTGAGCTGGTGGAAGTGGGACTTCAAATGTACATGGTAGTTATGAAAAGCACAGTTAATGTAGTATTAGTTCATGGTGAAATTTATGGAATTATAGTTCTGAGACTTCTTTCCACTAATTTGAAAACTGAAGATGCATCATTATGGAGAAAGAGTAAAATCTGGGTGATGACCGCTGAGATGGATTTCACCTCACTTCCCTTTCTAAGGAATGCTGACCTAGTCTTCCTCCATGGTGCTCTGTCTTTTGCAATTCACACAGAGAAGGTGTCAGGATTCCAGAAATTTGTTCAGATGAAGGACCCAATCTTGGAAAAAGAAGATACTTTTGTCAAGCTCTTCTGGGAAAGTGCCTTTGAATGTTCCTTCTCCATCTCTGTTATGAATGAAGACAAAAATGTGATTCCCTGTACTGGAAAGGAGAAACTGTTAGCTCTTCCTACATCTGTGTTTGAAATGGACATGACTGGCCATAGCTACAGCATCTACAATGCCATCCATGTTGTGGCATATGCTTTGCATGACTTCCATTCATCAATGTTGCAATACAGAGCTAGAGGGCATGAGGCCAAATTGGAACTTCTGGATCAAAAGTTGTGGAAGGTAAAACCTTAAGCAAACCAATTACTGGCTACTCACTGTATCTGCCACCCTGATCCTAAACCTAAATGAAATACATTCTTCCAAGGATAATGTATCTAACGATGTAGTTTTACTCAATGCCATTTTCTCTTCAGCTCTATTCCAAATAATGTCATTAAAAATTATCATATATATATATTAGGACAGTAGCATTCCATTTTTTATTTTATGTTAATGGTGTTTTTTATTTAGTTTTCCATGCTTTCCTGAATTTCCATATTTCAAGAATTACTAAGTATAGAGATTATCACCTGTCTGTCCATCGGTCTATCATCTATCTATCTATCTATCTATCTATCTATCTATCTATCTATCTATCTATCTATCTATCTATCTATCTATCTATCTATCTATCACCTGAATCCTAAGCCTCAATTACATTCATTGTTCCAAAGGAAATGAAAAAATATTTTTCTTTTATTTTCTATTTTATTCTTTTGGGTATTTGCATGTGTATTACATTTTGGTTGCTTGAGTTTGTGTTTGTGCTCTAAAGGATGCATTATTTTAATGCTGGTTTACCAGAGTCTATACTGTTATTGCATTGTCTACTATCTTCCCTTAAACTTTGAAGGAAATATTATTAAATGGGGGAATGAATGTTTTCATCTGGGTACCTGATCTATTTATATCTATTTTCTCTTTCTTCTTTTCCATTGTAGCTAAACCAATTTATGAGAGGTATCTCATTCAATAATAGTGCTGGACAAAAAGTTTCTTTTAACCAAAATGGAGAATTGGAGACTGGATTTGATATTATGAATTGGATCACATTCCCCAATCTATCATTTCTGAGAGTCAGAGTTGGAGAGATGAAGCTCATGGATTCCCAGGAACCATTATTCAGCATTGATGATGATGATATTGTATGGCCAAAGAGATTTAACCAGGTATGCTTAGTTCCATTTTAGCTTGTAAACAAATATCTTTCTGTCATTCCTCAAGTTGTCTTAGTTTCAAAGTTCAACACAGAGATTAGATTCAGCTGCAAACTGATGTTTCTTGCCATATTAAAATAAAACTATGTTTTTCTTATTCAGCACGAGCCATCCAGATATGGAAAATAGAGGTTGTGCCAAGGATATTGCAAAGATTTTGGATTTTGTAGAGATAACAGTGGTCTATCTAGCTTTTGAAGATAATCTACCTACCTTTTAATCCTCATTTAATGCTGAAGGTTGTATTTTTGAGTACTTTTTTCAAATGAAATAATCCTTCTCTTTTCTGAAGAAACTAAAGCAGAAGCTAACTACATGTGAAGGCAGAGAAGTACTGTGTTACCTCTAAATGATTTATAAAAAAAACCATATTCTCCTTTTCTTCTTGAACAGGTCCAACCTCTATCTTTATGTAATAGCAGGTGCCATTCAGGTTATACTAGGAGCAAGATAGAAGACAAACCATTTTGTTGCTATAATTGTATACAATGTCCACATGGGAAGATTTCCAACCAAGATAGTAAGGTCTTGCATATACTACTGTAAATATATACCTAAATAAAACTGTGAGTAAAAACAGCAATGAAAAGTCTACATCAGACATGTCAAACCCGCGACATCATGTGACGTCACGTAACTTATTGGGACAGTTTTGCCATTGCTGGCAATGGGGTGGGCGTGGCTTCTGGATGACTCATCTGGCCCATGGGCCAGCAGTTGGACACCCTTAGTCTACATTAATACTTAATTAAAAGTTCCTGTTAACAGATGGAAAGAGTAAAAAGTAGCACCTTGATCAGCTTTCAGTTTACTGAATGGATTTCAACAGTGCAAATTTGATGAAAATAATGTATCTTGGAGCAAACAGGAAGTTTTAAAACAGAAGGTTTACTAGTTTTCACATGTTATACAACAGGTTTTTGTTCTTCATAGTGCTCAGTTTTTATTCTTTCAGTGTAATATATACATTGTTAATTTATTTTTTAGACATAGATGATTGCTTTCAGTGTCCAGAAGATCAATATGCAAATGTGAACCAGGATTTGTGTCTTCCAAAGATTGCAACATTTTTGATGTATGAAGAAACTTTGGGGATCATTTTGGCCAGTTCTGCTCTTTTCTTTTCTTTGGTTACAGCTGGAGTCCTTTGGATCTTTATTAAGCATCAGGACACTCCCATAGTCAAAGCCAACAACCGGAATCTCACCTATGCTCTCCTTATTGCTCTCCTCTTCTCTTTTCTTTCTTGTTTATTATTCCTTGGAAAACCTAGCAAGATGACATGTCTCCTTCGTCAAACTGCCTTCAGTATTATCTTCTCTGTGGCCATTTCCTGTGTGTTGGCCAAAACCATCATTGTAGTTCTGGCTTTCATGGCCACTAAGCCTGGTTCTAAGATAACCAAATGGGTGGGGAGAAGATTGGCCATGTCCGTCGTGTTGGGCTGTAGCTTAATTCAAGCAACTATTTGCACTATATGGCTGACAACCTCTCCCCCATTCCCAGATGCTGAAACAAATTTAGTGGTGGAAGAAATCTTTCTGCAGTGTAATGAAGGTTCAGTCTTCATGTTCTATTGTGTCTTGGGCTATATGGGTTTCCTTGCCATTATCAGCTTCACGGTGGCTTTTCTAGCAAGAAAATTGCCTGATGTTTTCAATGAAGCCAAGTTTATCACCTTCAGCATGTTGGTCTTCTGCAGTGTCTGGTTGTCGTTTGTTCCAACATACCTGAGCACCAAAGGAAAATATATGGTTGCTGTGGAGATCTTCTCCATTATTGCTTCTAATGTTGGGTTACTGATTTGTATTTTTTCCCCTAAATGCTATATCATTGTTCTGAGGCCTTCTCTAAACAGCAAAAAACAGCTAAGAAGACAAACCCAGAGCAAAACATAAAATTATATATATCATTATTTCAGATTGTCTATAGGAAAAGAGAAATATTTAATCTTCTAATATAATATCACCTAGAATTATGCCCTTTCAAATCTTTACGTTTAATTTTGAGCTGACAAGTAAAATAAAGTATTGCCATTTGCATACTATCTATTTCATTTGTGTTGACCTATGAAACATATTGTGCAAGATTACATGTCAGATCCCCAAAGAAATAGCTTGCTTTTCTTTCCATTATATCTATAACCTTTTGTAATTATTTCTTGGGGCCTACCATTCTGTTGGGAGAGGGGTGCTTTGGGGATTCTTTGCATTGCCCTGCCACTATGCCCTTCCTGCAGGAGAAGGTATAAGTCACACTTATCTTGGAGATGGTTTGTGTTGGAGCCAGAGAGAAACAAAAGTAAGAGAGACCTTGAAAAGCCCGCCAATGGAGCCAGCTATCAAAACAATATGCACCTGTGGATTGGCTTGGATTCAAATGAACACTAGATCCTTGGGGGGAGGAATAATGATTATTGCTTTTAATATACTGTTTGTGCGGGTTTTTCTCCAGACCTCACTTTGGTTTTCCTGCTGTCACTCACCCCTAATAAAAGTTCCTTTTGAGACAATGTCTGTTTCAAGAGTTCTGCTTTCTTGGGAGGCCTAGATGAGGTAGATCCTTAAATTGCCCTTCTAGTTCCCTAGAAGATCTGCATAAAGCAAAGCTAGAGGAAATCACCTGGATAGCTGAATTGGACATCCAGTTATGAGGCCAGTGCCATACCCCCATAGAGGTTTTATCTATAATTAAGTGGAATATATATCTATATCTATATCTATCTATGTGTGTATGTGTGTGTGTGTATACATGTTTGTGTGTGTTTATGTCTCTTCTGTCATGTTCACATCGTACACTAAATAATAATAATTTGTGTTGACCAATATTTTTTTTTAAAAAAAATCTTTGATTGAAATTTATGCTATTCTTCCATTATTTATTGCTTGGTAACATTTGAGATTTCAAGAGAAGAGGAATATATTCCAATCATGACATTGTCAGAGGCCATCTGTGGATCCCCCAAACAGCCAAATACAGGCAACCTTGAATGTGGATCTATTCTAAAGATGGAAGGATGCATACTACAGATTACCTTGAATTCATCTCAGATTCCAAAACTCCAAAGAATCTCAACTCATGGGATGTCACCTGTTTGCCTCTTTACCCAACTAGCCTTTAGAATGGAAGGATTAAGATTGTTTTTTTTTTCCTATAAAGGAACTCATTCAAAGGGTAAACTCTTTTTGGCTTGTTGATTATCTTTTTTTGCACAGTATATAGATTTTGTTTATGTCTACATGTTCACTGATGGCTGATCTGTCACAGTGTCAGGCTCCCAGGAATTCTCTAGCATTTTTGGACTTGGCTTGATCACAGTTTCCCAGTTGAAACTATGGTTAAGTCTGTCCATAATTTTAAAAAAATCATCATCTCTGAGCTGACCACTCAACCCAATATAACCCAACCTAGACAGGCCATAAAAAGGATAACACTGCCATAAATCAAAAACATCTCAAAAACCAACAACCACATGGCATCAGTGTTGCACACAAGCCAACTAAAGTCCTCCAAAGTATCCTAAGTAAACTTAAAAGACCCAGAAGAAAAAAGGTAGTTATCTACACCAAGGGTTTCAAACTCGCAATGTCATGTGATGTGTCATGACGTATTGTAACTTTGTTTTCTATTGCCAGCGATGGGGTGAGTGCGGTTTCGCTATGACGCATCTGGCCCATGGGCTGGCAGTTTGACACCCCTGATCTACACTATACAGTGTAAAGATTTACAACAGCTACTACATAGAACAAATAGGTAGAAGACTAGCAGAATGCATTCATGAGCACCAACTAGCAGTCAGGAGACACAATTAACACCAAGATTAACATCAGACTAACAATTAAGGAGTAAACAATATCCCAATCAAGAAACACCCAAACAAGCTAACAGCAAACAGCCCAACCAAGGAATCACCAAGATTAGTCCCACCAACACTAACAGGGCAGGTCACTAAAATATAAATTGAGAGAAAACCATAATCTTTATTAATGCTGATGGTGTTACCTAGTTCAGGTAATGAAACATCTGCAAGAAAAAAGCCAAGCTCAGAGAACTCCAAGGACCCCTCACTTTGAATCTTTCAGATGACTGTAAATGGAAACACCATTGATAATTATATCAGATAGAAATCATGACTAAAAGGACCCTGATTCAGCTGGTATGCAACAGCAGCTTTAGATAGTAGAAGTGACCATGGCCGCTTATAAGTAAATCCTCATTAACACCTAGACAGGTTACATCAATGTTTGTTATACAAAGATGCATTTAAAGACTACCCAGAAAATATAGCATATCCAGAATGCAGCAGCGTTTGTCTTAATGGATGCTATAGAACCATCTATCTGTATAGCTGGCTTGTCAATTTGTGTATCAATTTATTTTGAAAATTTGAACCAAATCACATTGTTTACACAGTTGAAAAGATAAATACTGGGGAGAGTTTTTTTCACTCTATCATTGAGCTATTCCATTTCAATAACTTTTTGCATGGAAGGTGGACATCTAGAAAAGCTTCAAGATGAGATTAAGAAATCGAAAACAAATCAAAAACAGGAGGAGGAAGAGGAGGAAGCAGCTGCCTATTTTATTTAGAAGAAGACTCTGAAGAAATTGGCAGAGGACATATAAAATTGAACTACTAACTCTTGTGCAACCAACCATGATGGAATGGGCTACTACATCAACAGTTTCACATCTATTCAGGAATAATCTGAATAGTCTGAATAGAATAACAAAGTTGGAAGGGATATTGGAGATCTTCTAGTCCAACCCCCTGCTCAGGCAGGAAACCCTATACCATTTCAGACAAATGGTTGTCCAATCTCTTCTTAAAAACTTTCATTGTTGGAGCATTCACAGCTTCTGGAGGCAAGTCGTTCCACAGATTAATTGTTCTGTCGGGAAATTTCTTCTTGGTTCTAGGTTGCTTTTCTCCTTGATTAGTTTCCATATAACCTAAATCAGTCTCAAGATTTGGGATGTAAACTTTGGTTAAACATTTGCCCCAAATAGACTGTATTTAGGGGGAGCAGCAATTCTGTTCAGTTTTTTTCCCACACATTATTCTCAAAAGGGGACAAAACACTTTCAGAATCAGTTTTGGAGTAAAAGGAACCCTAAACTTAACTTTGGCTCTATTCTAACTCTTCTGTGAATTAATATCATAAACCTATTAAATAAAATAAAAAATTAAGCTATTTTTGTTTTAACATTTGGGATAAAACCGTTTTCTTGTCCTTCAACAAATGCAGGAAATGTTTTTTTTTTCATTAGTTAGGATTCTTCTCACACTCTCAATTATTACAAGCATTTTCATTTTGTGACGCCACACTACAGAATGATAAAGGTGATCTCTACTAAGAAGGTAAAAACATGTTTTTTGCTCAAGGCTGCCTAGGGCTTTGATTCTGAAATTACTGTCTTTTCTACTGCAATTATCAATCCCTATATTATTATTTCAACATTAATTTTAGGTCCAGGGGGAGTGGCTGAGCTATTAGTGCAAGTAACATTATACTTCATGAAAAAGAATTTTGAGACAGACAAATTGGCTTACAAAGAAATGCTGTTGTTAAAAGTGATGATATTTGCAGTATTGGTTATTGCGCTTTTACCTCAAATGATGTGCAGGATTCACAGGACTAACTGCAGCATCAGTGACCCTCTGCCATTTCTTCACAAGCAATATCAGTCAGGAGACCTCATTGTTGTGAACATGCTCTCTCAGATCTATGTCTTCCACACAATGATGGACTTCAGCAAGCGTCCCTCTAAGGAGCTCTTTGAGGACACTGTGTAAGAATTTATATATGGAAAGCAAGTTAATTTGAACTAGGAAGTCTCTTCATATTCATATTAGCCTAAATTCCAATGATTGGCAGCATCTTTTCTTTGCTGATAGCATTATCTTCATCCTCCCATTCTTCCTCCTTTTCCATCATTATCTTCTCCTCCTTGTTCCTTTTATACTGTAAGTAGCATTAATAATCCCTGGTTGTTATGTGATAATTAGAAGAATTAGGCCTTAAACAGAAATAAAAATTTTCATTAGGAAAAGAAATATATAATATGAAATATGGGAAATGGAGGAGAAAAAGCTAAGCCAAGCTGTATGATGGGAAGGTATCGCTGGGGTTGAAGGAACCTCAAGCAGAATCCCTTTTCAAGGAGAGTTTGAGATATTCATATACTTCTGAAAATGGAAGGACTGATCTTCCCCACTGAGTGGAGCTCCATGCTTAGTGGAAGAATCTGATGTCTTGCAGTGGGTAACTTAAAATTCCTTCCTGGAAAATGGATGGGTTATGATCTAGTAGCTCTTGTTCAGGCATGAGTTGGATTTTGTAAAGGGGATATTTTAACAAACTGCACATGTTGTCCAAGAAGACTTAGGGAACCTTCAACAATTTATGTTTCAACTTTTATGCATGCTCTGACTGAGGTTTTTTTGGAGGAACATTTTGAGAGTCTTCATCTTAAAATAATTTACACACAGAAGAGAAAGTTTCATGTCCTTCTCTAAATTTGTTATTGAACAACCAAGTTTCCAGATAGTAAATTATTGGAAACTGAAGTGTTTATGTTTTGTTTTAATTGATGAGTTCTTTTTCAAATGTTGCCATGAGAATTATTCACTTCACCTTCATTCTAGCATTTAAAAAAAATCTACTTGTTCCAGTACATGACATCAGTGTTATAAACAATTTATTAAGTAAAATCTTATTTTTTTAAAAAAATATTAATTATATGGTTTAATATAGTTTAATTAAATTATATGCACTCTCTGACTGGAAAAAAGCTATGCTCTTTTTTTGGTCAAAATTCTTCTATATGTCTACTTTCCATTTCCGAGCTATGTGTAGGAAATACTGAGATTAAACTATAATTTTTATCCTTATGGCATAATAAATGTTTGATTTGGGAGAATGCCTGTTTGAAAAAAGGAAATAATTTTTATTTGGTGCCATCAATTATCTTAGACTCCCAAATTATTTTCAACAATAGAATGT